ATAGATAGATAGATAGATAGATAGATAGATAGATAGATAGATAGATAGATAGATAAGTAGAGAGATAGTGTCTAAAAAGAAGAGGGTTCATTTTAAAGGCAATTACTCGACCATCTCTGTACTAATCTCAGTAAAACTTTGACAAATAATACTCAAAGAAGGGATAACAAGTTTGTATAATATGCAGAAAATCAATACATGTATGCGTGTTCGAGAAATATCAAGTTTTAAAGATTTCAACAAAAAATGGGTATATCATAACCTTTTTTTAAGCGTTCATCTACAAGGGCGTGGTCGGCACGTTCTGGTTTCAGGACAAAGAAGATAAAACGACAACAGTCACATCAGATGGCTATCCCACCGTGCTGTGAAAGTTTTGTAGAAGTTTGGAGAGGAGGCGTTACACTGTAGAGACCTTGATCCAGAGGGATGGTGTCACACCCCTCAAGTCCAGAGTAGCCTTTGTGTGGTTGTAAGAATGGTTTAGGGAACGTCTTTTAAGCCGACAGTTTACAAATGAATGATAGCTTGGCCTCTTCTATTATTACATGTGCGGGTTGTTTTATTTTTCTCTTAGGCACATAATCTGCGGAAACAACCCGCAAACAATCGAACAGAAGGAACTCAATATGGAATACGATGTCTAAAGATTCCACCCTGAAAAATGCCATGGGCTTATTTAAACATTCCCAGTGACATGATGCAGCGAGTAAGTAGAAGACTCAAGGGCATCATTCATGATTCGTCCAAGGAAGATGTTGAACAGGGTAGGTAATAGTAGGTAACCTTGGCGTGCACCGACGGTAGTGAGGAACCATTCTCATAGTTTTTCCCTTGGAGAAGGAGAGGAAGGCAAAGGAAGAGGTGGACCTACAACATTGCGGAGTGGACAGGAAAATCCTTCTCCCAAACTCAGGCACTCGCAAAAAAAAAAACAACCCGCGTAAAGCGGAGGCTCCTGACGAGGCCCTCTGTCATACGACTCCCCTACGATCCTCATGAATTACAGGATCAGTGACAGTGACAATGAAGGAGAAGACATGGTCAACCTGTCCCCGTGGTTTTATGCACCCCGCATAATTTAGCAAAATTTGATCATTTTTTGCATAATTTCT